GCATCAAGAAATATGGACCAATAGGCTTTCTACAAACACTTCTATTCAATACCCATTGTTTCTGTTCTGTCTTGTGTTGATACTTTTAATACCCTATTAATATCCCCTCTTGTTCTGTCTTGTGTTAATGCCACATCACCCCTCCCACCTCACTCAAATGTAGATATAAAATCAGAGATACGTAAGTTCTAATCAGTTGTGTATTTGTGAAGTCTTTGAAAATGTAATAAGTTTTACGAAACGCGCCCGTGTCGCGTCAGACTAGAAATAAAAATGAATTTTGGAGAAGTGATTTTTGATTTACCTCCAACAGTGAAGCGTAATGTACGAAAGATTGAGAAATTCGTGTTAGAATTATTAATCTTACTTTTTCGGTCATATTTAATAATATATATATATATATATATATATCCAAGAGTCAATGCTCGATCCTGCAGGCCCAAATAGGTGAGTACAACACACCCTCCCAAGACCAGCACAAGTGTCAACACCCGTATACAGTGTGTTCTCTCAACACCCGCAGGCTCATACTCCAAGGGTATGAGTATGAGCCGCAAGGCCCTCTCCCCCCCCCCCCCCCCCCACCGAACTCCTGGCTTAGTGTGACCTTTGACCTGCGCTCTGACCCCGTGGTGGTCGTGCCCTGTAAACACGGCGCCTGACTCCCGAGGGAAGGCGGCTCCTGTGGCATCATAGGGGCTTTTTCTGGGAACCTTCCTGCACGCATTTTCAGGCGCCGCTCTAGGCTTTTTATGGGACCGTTCTGGGCATTTTTTTCTGGATCAGTCCTGGGCGTTTTCTGAGCAGGTCCTGGGCGTGATGGGGCGGCGGTACTCCTCCCAGGCGACCTTTGGCGAGGTCCTCCACCCACTGTCACTCAGAGAAGGTGAAGTTGTGCTCGCTCAGATTGGAGGAGGAGTAGGTTATGGGGACGTTAACGGACCCTTCTCTCTCTCTCTCTCTCTCTCTCTCTCTCTCTCTCTCTCTCTCTCTCTCTCTCTCTCTCTCTCTCTCTCTCTCTCTCTCTCTCTCTCTCTCTCTCTCTCGCACAGATCTTCTCTATGTTTCATTATTGGAAAATTAACTCTCCAAAATTCATTTACAGATTGATACGGCCTGATGCAAAAAAGATATACTGTGTCCAACCTTTCCACACCTACGGAGGCAGAGGAGGAAGGATGTCTTGTTGCCCAGTCGATCTTAGCTGGAGTAGGTGAGGTGTATGGTGACGTTCTGTGTCTTGAAGATAGTAACCTGACGGTCGCTTTTTTTTTTAATAGTGTTTGAGATGTAGTGCTTCGCCTATGTCTAATTCCTTATTGTCGTTGAATGTGTCGGTTATTTATTTCGAGACTATTGGTCCGGTAATTGGTATTGGTCCGGTAATTGGTATTGGTCCGGTCCGGTATTGTCTGGTAATGGTTTGGTTGTATGATATTATGAGTTATTGCATAGCGTGTTGTTCTTTGTGCATTGTCAGCTGTCTTGAGAGAGATGTTGTTGTCTTCGGTCAAGGTCTTGAAGGATTATAAGTGTCTTAGAAGCATGTGGACGGTCTTGGAACTTAGAATAATCCCTGGAGCGGGTCTTAGAAGAGCAAGGAAGGGAGCGGACACTGTAACAAAGAGATATGAAATGAAGGAACGGGACCCCACAAAGTTTCTAATGGCATTATTAGAGGAATATGAAAATGTGAGATATGAACACTGAACTGTAATATAATAAATGATATAATTATAAATAGTTTATATACATTTGTCATAATAACTTCAGCATGAAATAAATTTCTGTTTAACTCTCTGGGTCACTGATAATTTTAATCTCAGTCTTAATTCATCTTCTAAATTGACAGTTCCCAGCGAAGACGACTCGTGACTTAAACTTTAAGACACGAATATACTCTGTCGTACATATATACTCTGAATACACGTGCAGAATATGAATCACCACGACGAATCACCACGACGAATCACCACGACGAATCACCACGACGAATCACCACGACACGACAACTCCCACAAACAGGTTACTCCAAGCTTTCCTATATGATATTGACCGAATCGTGACAGATCAATACTTTTTCAAATTTAAAGTGAATGAAATTAAATATATTTATACTATACGAGTGTTTGTCTGTCTGTATGTTCAAAGTTGGAGGTCATGTGCTTGGGGGGCTAGGCTCGCCTAGATTGGCTGAGGGAATGGTCCGGGGTATGGGATCTATCTTGAGGTTATCTTGAGATGATTTCGGGGCTTTAGTGTCCCCGCGGCCCGGTCCTCGACCAGGCCTCCACCCCCAGGAAGCAGCCCGTGACAGCTGACTAACTCCCAGGTACCTATTTACTGCTATGTAACAGGGGCATTCAGGGAGAAAGAAACTTTGCCCATTTGTTTCTGCCTCGTGCGGGAATCGAACCCGCGCCACAGAATTACGAGTCCTGCGCGCTATCCACCAGGCTACGAGGGATGAACATAGGCTGCTCGGGGTTCCCGGAAATCAGAAGGGACCAGCGTGTCAGAATCATCTCCAGATCCTCACCACGATTTTTGGCACTGGCTGCCGACTAACGCTGTAAATATTTTGAAAACAGGCAATCCAATACGATAATATTTTCTTATTATAATTTACGCCATTATTCACTGATGCCGACAAACTTAAAATAGAATATTTCTGCTATTCATAATTCGGCCGTAGCCCGATAAAACACACAAGTTACATGTTGACCAGACCACACACTAGAAGTTGAAGGGACGACGACGTTTCGACTTGAGAATGGTCCAGGACGGACCGAAACGTCGTCGTCCCTTCAACTTCTAGTGTGTGGTCTGGTCAACATACTTCAGCCACGTTATTGTGACTCATCGCCTGCACACAAGTTACATACAGCCACCAACAGAAGGCAAGATATACACACCTTCACACACACACACATACAAAGCCGATGGGTAACTATTTTATTCTAAACAAAAAATCAAAACAGGTTTCTCTTATAGTAATATACAACATTATTCACTGATTTCTGGAAATAAAAAGTAATTGTCTGATATTCACACTTCAGCCGTACTATCATAAACAAATGACTTCAGTATTGCCCCCCCCCCTGACCGCCGCGTCATACAGGTTGGGCTTACCAAGTTCCCAGAGCTACGAGGCCATGGGGTGAATATTTAAATTGAAAAACAAAATATTAAAAAATTTTGTTTTCTTGGAGAGACGAGAGGGAGAGGGATAAAGAGAGGAAGAGGGAGAGATAATGAGACAGAGTGAGATTCAGATAGGTAGAGACGGGGGGGGGAGGGAGAAAGAGCTGGATAGATGGATAGAAAGAGATGGATGGATAGATGAATGGATAGCTAGATGAATATTATATATATATATATATATATATATATATATATATATATATATATATATATATATATATATATATATATATATATATATATGTCGTACCTAATAGCCAGAACGCACTTCTCAGCCTACTATTCAAGGCCCGATTTGCCTAATAAGCCAGGTTTTCATGAATTAATGTTTTTTCGTCTACCTAACCTACCTAACCTAACCTAACCTAGCTTTTTTTGGCTACCTAACCTAACCTTACCTATAAATATAGGTTAGGTTAGGTTAGGTAGGGTTGGTTAGGTTCGGTCATATATCTACGTTAATTTAACTCCAATAACATAAAATTGACCTCATACATAGAGAAAAGGGTTGCTTTATCATTTCATAAGAAAAAAAATATAGTAAATATATTAATTCAGGAAAACTTGGCTTATTAGGCAAATCGGGCCTTGAATAGTAGGCTGAGAAGTGAGTTCTGGCTACTAGGTACGACATATATATATATATATATATATATATATAAATGATAGATTGGAGAATATAGTTTTATATATATATATATATATATATATATATATATATATATATATATATATATATATATATATATATAAATGATAGATTGGAGAATATAGTTATATATATATATATATATATATATATATATATATATATATATATATATATATATATATATATATATATATATATATATATATATATATATATATATATATTATTCTCAGGGAACTAATGCCTCAGGCAACAACAAAAGGAGATTTCCAACATAAAAATATTTATGCCTTAAAAAACTATTCTCTGAAAAATGCCACATTTTCACTTACACAGTAAATCCATATTAAATACCTGTTGCAAGTTACAAAGTTATAATTATATTCCCCCCCCCCCCCTCCCCCCTCAAAAAAAAAGAGCTCGAGTTACAGAGGAAATACGCTCCAAAGACTCCATTCAGCTGTCCTCTATGGGAGGCTCGAACCCTGGACCCCACGTGTGTGAGGACGATTGGAATTATTTCCACGGAGGTTCGCTTCTTGCGTCCCACGTGAGAGTGTTGTCTTGCAGTAAGGATCTTCAAGACTTCTTCACTCCAGAAATTTTGCTGCTTGAGATCAATAAAGGTCAGAAGCAAAGTTCTAGGATTGGAAAAAGCCAATAATAGGATCACAGGGTCAAGAATGGTCAGGATCTGATGTCCCAGTGTCCCGGAAGGTCAGGATCTGATGTCCCAGTGTCCCGGAAGGTCAAGATCGATGTTCCGGTGTCCCGAAAGGTCAGGAACAATGTCCCAGTGTCCCGGAAGGTCAAGATCAATGTCCCAGTGTCCCGGAAGGTCAAGATCAATGTCCCAGTGTCCCGGAAGGTCAGGATCAATGTCCCAGTGTCCCGGAAGGTCAGGATCAATGTCCCGGTGTCCCGGAAGGTCAGGAACGATGTCCCGGTGTCCCGGAAGGTCAGGATCAATGTCCCGGTGTCCCGGAAGGTCAGGATCAATGTCCCAGTGTCCCGGAAGGTCAGGAACGATGTCCCAGTGTCCCGGAAGGTCAGGAACGATGTCCCAGTGTCCCGGAAGGTCAGGATCATGTCCCGGTGTCCCGGAAGGTCAGGATCAATGTCCCGGTGTCCCAGAAGGTCAGGATCATGTCCCGGTGTCCCGGAAGGTCAGGATCATGTCCCGGTGTCCCAGAAGGTCAGGATCAATGTCCCGGTGTCCCGGAAGGTCAGGAACGATGCCCCGGTGTCCCGGAAGGTCAGGAACGATGCCCCGGTGTCCCGGAAGGTCAGGATCGATGCCCCGGTGTCCCGGAAGGTCAGGAACGATGCCCCGGTGTCCCGGAAGGTCAGGAACGATGCCCCGGTGTCCCGGAAGGTCAGGATCGATGCCCCGGTGTCCCAAAAGGTCAGGAACGATGCCCCGGTGACCCGGAAGGTCAGGAACGATGCCCCGGTGTCCCGGAAGGTCAGGATCAATGTCCCGGTGTCCCGGAAGGTCAGGATCAATGCCCCGGTGTCCCGGAAGGTCAGGAACGATGTCCCAGTGTCCCGGAAGGTCAGGAACGATGCCCCGGTGTCCCGGAAGGTCAGGATCGATGCCCCGGTGTCCCGGAAGGTCAGGAACGATGTCCCAGTGTCCCGGAAGGTCAGGATCGATGCCCCGGTGTCCCGGAAGGTCAGGATCAATGTCCCAGTGTCCCGGAAGGTCAGGAACGATGCCCCGGTGTCCCGGAAGGTCAGGAACGATGTCCCAGTGTCCCGGAAGGTCAGGAACGATGTCCCAGTGTCCCGGAACGTCAGGAACGATAATATAATATATATTTTGCGCATCTTCACAGCCGCTCTCCTCCATCCCTCCCCACACACCGCCCTCCTCCTCTTCCACTCACGGCCAACCCCACCACAACCTCCCCATCCCACAACTACTTTAACAACCTCCCCCCCCTCCCATCGCCTCCCTCCTCAACACTGCTAACCCCTCCTTCCCCCCCTTCTCTCCCTCCCCCCTCCCCCCCCAAAAAAAAATCCCCTTCTGGCAGCATTAAATTGGTTAAGCCTACCTCCTCAAGTCCTCTCCTTAGAGGCGATACAGTAGGCAGATGAGAGAAGGAGGAGGGGGGAGGGGGGAGGGGAGTAGGGTGATTAGAAAAGAAAAGGAAGAGAGGAGTTGAATGGGAGAGGCAGGTGAAGGAAGGGGGGAGCTTAGTCATCCATTATAGGAGGATCTTGCCTCGGGAGACACAACCCCTCCTCACTTCCCCCTCACTTCCCCCTCACTTCCCCCTCACTTCCCCCTCACTTCCCCTCCCTGCTTGTCTAATGAGCAGTGGACGCACCCTTCTTTGTGACCCTCCACCCCCCCCCTCCCCTAGGCCCTCCTTAGTGTATATGTGCTTATTATCTGTACACACACACACACACACACACACACACACACACACACACACACACACACAGGGAGGACTGCTTGAGGCTTCTAGAAGATATAGACAAACCGACGGAATAGTCGAACAAATGGTTGTTAGAGTTTAACCCAAGCAAATGTAAATGTAATGAAGATAGGTGTAGGGAGCAGGAGACCAGGTACAAGATATCATTTGGAAGATGAAATTCTTCAAGAGTCAGGGAGAGAGAAAGACCTGGGGGTTGATATCACGCCAGACCTGTCCCACGAAACCCATATCACGAGGATAACATCAGCGGCATATGCCAGGTTGGCCAACATAAAAACAGCCTTTAGAAACTTGTGCAAAGAATCATTCAGAATCTTGTATACCACGTATGTCAGACCAATCCTGGAGTATGCAGCTCGAGCATGGAGTCCATATCTCGTCAAGCATAAAACTAAATTCCAGAAAGTTCAGAGGTTTGCCACCAGACTGGTGCCTGAACTGAGGGGCATGAACTATGAGGAGAGACTACGGGAATTACATTTTACGTCGATGGAAGACAGGAGAGGTAGGGGGGAGGGACAGGATCACAACATACAAGAATCTCAAAGGAATTGATAGAGCAAACAAAGGCAGTTTATTTAACACAAGGGGCTCACACACTAGGAGACACAGGTGGAAATTGAGTGCCCAAATTATCCATAAAGACATTATAAGATATAAAGACATAAAGACACACATAGGGAGTACCTAAGCAACAGAAGACAGCGAGTCACTGTGAGAGGCGAGGTATCAGATTGGCGAGGCGTCACCAGTGGAGCCCCGCAGGGTTGTCTGGTGGTGCCAGACAAAGTATCCCCGTGGATACTAAAAGAAGCAGCGCAGGCCCTCAGCGTGCCTCTGGTAAGGATCTTTAATGAGTCACTTACAAAGGGAGAGTTGCCCAGCTGCTGGAAGAAGGCAAATGTGGCACCAATTTACAAGAAAGGGGATAGGGAAGAGGCAATTAGCTACAGACCAGTACCACTGACAAGCATCCCCTGTAAAGCACTTGAAAGAATAATCAGGTTAAGACTGGTCACACACTTAGAGATCATTAGGAACGTAAACAAACACCAACATGGGTTCAGAGAAGGATAATCATGCGTAACAAACCTTCTGGAATTCTTTGATAAAATAACAAGAATAAGGCAGGACAAGAAAGGATGGGCAGACTGCATATTTCTGGACTGCCAAAAAGATATTGATACAGTATCGAACAGGACACGCTATTCAAACTTGAGAGGCAGGCAGGATTAAGGAGAAAAGACCTAGCATGGGTAAAGAATTATTTAATAGGCAGGAGCCAGACGGTAACAGTCAGGGGCGAGAAGTGGGACTGGCGAAAAGTAACAAGTGGAGTACCTCAAGGATCGGTGCTGGGACCAGTTCTATTTCTAATATACGTGAACTACATGTTTACAGGAGTCGAGTCCTACATGTCGACGTTCGCGGATGACGCGAAATTAATGAGACGAGTTGTGACAGACGAATATTGTCGGATCTTCCAAGAGGACTTGAAAGAGCTGCAGAGCTGATCTGAGAAATGGCTACTGGAGTTTAATACGAGCAAGTGTAAAGTTATGGAAATGGGACTAGGTAACAGGTGATCAAAGGGTCAGTACACAATGAAGGGAATCTACCTTCCTGCTACGATCCCTGGGAGTGGACGTAACACCAAATCATGCTCCTGAGGCGCATATAGATCAGGTAACGACAGCAGCGTACTCTACGCTAGCAAGAGTTTGAATGTCATTCAGAAACCTAAATGAGGAGGCATTCAGATCGCTTTACACTGCCTACGTGAGACCAGTCGAAGAGAATGCAGCCCCATCATGGAGGCTCCCACCCAAAGAAACTGAAAAAGGCTAAAAAAAAATTGCGACAAGGCTAGTCCCGGAGTTGCAAGCGATGGGATATGAAGAGCGACTGAACGAACTGAACCTGACGACGTTAGGAAAACTGAGGGTGCGGGGAGATATGATAGTAGCATACAAAGTATTTAGGGGGATTGACAGAGTGGAAATAGACGAAATCTTCACACGGATTAGTAACAGAACGAGGGGTCATGGATGTAAACTGGAAACTCAGATGAGTCACAGAGATGTTAGGAAGTTTTCTTTCAGCGTGAGAGTAGTGGAAAAATGGAATGAACTAAAGGAGCAGGTTGTGGAAGCAAACACTATATACAGCGTGTTGTTGTTGTTAAAGATTCGCTACCTGGAACAAAGTTCAAAGTAGCACGGGATATGGTGAGCCCGTAGTGCCTTTGTTTACAGCTTTAAAACTAGGTATGATAGAGAAGTAAGACATGAGTGATTGCTTTAAACAACCGATGGCTAGAAAGGCGTGATCCAAGTTCCAACGCTCGATTCTGCAGGCACAGATAGGTGAGTACACACACAAGAGCCTGGCAGAGACAAATCACTCCAATGATTTAATTAATAAATGCAAATCGCGTGATTACAGGAAACCAGCCATCAAGATCACTTTTGGCAGCCATAATCCCCAGTGTCCAGCACGGGGAAAAACCCTGAATTACATAAAGCGTCCAAATTTCCCGGCGTACTTGTGTGATTACTGCTCTCCGGCCTTGCACACGCCACTCATGTTTTGAGGTTAGTGTGTTCCACCGAAGGTACGCTAGGTGTGATGTCAATTCTCAGTCACTTCGCTTCGTCAGACACATAGGGGCAGGATTCCAGCGTAAACCTCTTCTGAAATCCTTCGTTAATTGCGACACACATCTCCTTGTCATTTTCTGTGAATTCTCCTCCTGTTTTGCTCCCTGGCATCACCTGGGTGAGTGTTCATCAAGTATTTAGTGTACATTGACGAAACCTTTACATCTGTCCCTGATGACAGCGGCTTGGTCTGTCTTTACTCTTCCCGTTTTCTACTTTGCACTTAGTACCTCACCTGACAGCGCCTGACAGCTGAGTGGACAGCGCTTCGGATTCGTTGTCCTGAGGTTCCCGGTTCGATCCCCCAGTGGAGGCGGAAACAAATGGGAAGAGTTTCTTTCACCCTGAGGCCCCTTCTCACCTAGCAGTAAATAGGTACCTGGGAGATAGACAGCTGCTACGGGCTACTTCCTGGGAGGGGGGTGTATATCAAAAAGGAGGCCTGGTCGAGGACTGGGCCGCGGGGACGCTAAGCTCCGAAATCATGTCAAGATAATAGTAGGATTGAATTCCAATATCCACTTGATAGGGTTGAATTCCTCTAGTTCCTCTTAATTGGTTTCCTTATGCATGGACGTGGGGGAGAAATAGGCGTGTTGATCATTTATAGAAGAGACATGTTTCCTTTATTTATTACTAGATGGTGTATCTGGGAGGGACCAGGTCGACCCAGTGACCAAGTCGACCCAGTGACCAGGTCGACCCAGTGACCAGGTCGACCCAGTGACCAGGTCGACCCAGTGACCAGGTCGACCCAGTGACCAGGTCGACCCACTGACCAGGTCGATCCAGTGAGCAGGTCGACCCAGTGACCAGGTCAACCCACTGACCAGGTCGACCCAGTGACCAGGTCCCCCCAGTGACCAGGTCGACCCAGTGACCAGGTCGACCCACTGACCAGGTCGACCCACTGACCAGGTCGACCCAGTGACCAGGTCGACCCAGTGACCAGGTCGACCCAGTGACCAGGTCGACCCAGTGACCAGGTCGACCCACTGACCAGGTCGATCCAGTGAGCAGGTCGACCCAGTGACCAGGTCAACCCACTGACCAGGTCGACCCAGTGACCAGGTCCCCCCAGTGACCAGGTCGACCCAGTGACCAGGTCGACCCACTGACCAGGTCGACCCAGTGACCAGGTCCCCCCAGTGACCAGGTCCCCCCAGTGACCAGGTCCCCCCAGTGACCAGGTCGACCCAGTGACCAGGTCGACCCAGTGACCAGGTCGACCCAGTGACCAGGTCGACCCAGTGACCAGGTCGACCCAGTGACCAGGTCGACCCAGTGACCAGGTCGACCCAGTGACCAGGTCGACCCAGGGACCAGGTCCCCCCAGTGACCAGGTCGACCCAGTGACCAGGTCGACCCAGTGACCAGGTCGACCCAGTGACCAGGTCGACCCAGGGACCAGGTCGATCCAGTGACCAGGTCGACCCAGTGACCAGGTCGACCCAGTGACCAGGTCGACCCAGTGACCAGGTCGACCCAGTGACCAGGTCGAACCAGCATCATTCCACCGAAAAAATATGAAAAATAATGAACATAAATGGGCAGATATATTCCCACGGGGACACCTCCAACGTACATGTCTGGACATCCTGAAACACAGCTGGCGACTAATTTTCATGATATCATCATTTTCCTTTACATTTGCATGCCCAAACAATGGGTTATCTTGAGGTTATCTTGAGATAATTTCGGGGCTTAACGTCCCCGAGGCCCGGTCCTCGACCAGGCCT